CTAGGATACCTACACGTGGTGTGCAACACGACATATGCCAATGGTGTTCGAGGGAACTACCCACATAAAGGACTAGCATGCGTCGATGGTGGTCAAAGTATGTGCCAAGACCAAGGGCCAACATGTCCCAAAGGTGGTCGAGGCATGTGCATGTGTCATAGTCCGCTAGCTGATCCAAGCTTAAGGGTTCTTTCTAAGTCAGTGAGCATTATAGTAAGACAAGGTCCAACTACCAAAGAGACCAGACCTTAAGGCCTATTAGAGGCCCAGGTCATGGGGAACTAGCCTAAAACAATGGCACAGGTAGTGATCAAGACACCAAAGTCTTAGGCACGTTGTTTAGTTTTAACAAAATTAAGCCAGACCCAGGTGCAAGTGCTAGTGAGTGCTTATATGAATTTAGAAGCCATAAAAATGGCATTGGCATAATAGATGTGCCTAAACCCACCTACTACCAGGTCATGGGGTGCATGGTGTGCAACCCAGCATGTGTTGATGGTGTTTAAGGTAACTACTCACAAAAGGCTAGCTTGTGCCCCTATGATGGGTCGACAATTGAGTGATGGGCACGTGTGTCACTTCTAGCTCAGATTTTGACTTAGAGTCATTCAGTCATAATCCAACGCATGGTAGCTTTATGCCACTAGTTCTTCTCATACTAGGTTGAATTACTAGTGCAATGTTGCCATTAGTAGGGTAAAATTAACTTGCCTCACGACAGTCTGAACCCAGCTCACATTCCCTAGTGGTGGGTGAACAATCCAACAACTTGGTGAATTCTGCTTCACAATGATAGGAATAGCCAACATCAAAGGATCAAAAGGCAACATCGTTATAAATACTTGGCTGCCACAAGCTAGTTGTCCATATGATAACTTTTTTGACACCTCTAGCTTCACATTCTAAAGGTCTAAAGGATCTATAATCCACGCTTTCATGGTTCATTTTTATGCTAGAAATCAAAATCAAATGAGCCTTTACCCTTTTGTTCCATGTGAGATTTTTGTTCTTGTTGAGCTCATTTTGGGACACCTGTGTTATCTTTTAACAAATGTGCTACCCTTGCCAAAATCCCCACTTGACAATGTCTTATGCCCAGATTGATTGACCAAGGCCTACCTTGGGTCCAAAAGAAGGGGTCATGCCTCGCCCCCAATTTATGGAATAAGTAAAATAACATTAAAGTAGTGGTATTTCAATTTCACTCAAGGCCTTCCATTTATCCTACACCGATAAGTCATTTCCCAAAGTTAGACTATAGTCAAGCTCAACAAGGTTTTCTTTCCCTGCTGTTTCTTCCAAGCCTATTCCCTTGGCTATGGTTTTGATGGATAGTAGGCAGGGATAATGGGAATCTCATCAATCCATTCATGTGAAACACTAATTAGATAATGAGGCATTTGGCTACAATAAAAGGTTCATAGTTACTCTTGTCATTTACCCGTGCTTGTTTGAATTTCTTCACTTTGACATTTAGAACACTGGGTAGAAATCACATTATGTGAGCATATGTAAAAACCATTGCATTGATTTGTTTTAATTAAATAGTTGGATTCCCTTTGTCTATACCAATTCTAATTTGATTGCTCTCACTAAGGAAAGGCCCCCGAGGGAGCAATTCCCAATCCCTTTGACCAGTACATGGCAATCTACTCTCACCATAAAAGTAGATTGAGCAATGTATCGATAGCTGATGGGTTTGAGATTGGGACCCTAGTGCCCAACCCTTAGAGCCAGTCCTTTTCCCAAGGTTATGGATCCATTTTGCAACTTCCCTTGCCTATATTGTTCCATCAACTAGAAGCTATTCACCTTAGAGACCTGATGCAATTATAAGTACGACTAGGCATGGATGGCACTTGGTCCTCTAGATGTTCAAGGGCCACTAAGGGCACACTTGACACCATAAGACATGTGGTGCTCTTTTGGTTGTTGGACCCTACCTCCAACTAAGCCATTTCTAAGGTAAGCAAGCCATTAAACAAAAAAGATAACTATTCCTAAGGCCCCCATCGACTTCTCCAAACTCTTAATGTTGTCATTAGCTACTGCATCGTAATTAAGGAATTTTAACCTAAATCCCTTTTGAAACTCATGCTAGACATGCTATCAGACGAGCTTTCCCTTTCTTTTAGAATCGACTAACCCGTGCCATTCATGTGGAACCATTCTTCTCTTTGGCCTTCAAAGTTCTCATTTGAATATTGGCTACTACCACCAAGATTTGCACTGATGGTCACCCCACCTAGGTTCACACCCTGGGTTTTGTGGTGACTACTGTGTCCTCCTACTCATCAAGGCTTGGCCCTTGCCCTAATAGCTGGGTATAGGTCACATGCTTAAGTGCTATCCATTTTTTGGGTTAGTTGATTTGGTAGGTGACTTGTTTCACATTCCTTAGTGGATTTTGACTTCCATGACACCATCTTTCTGTCTTAATTGACCAACACCCCTTATGGGTTCTAGGTTAGAGCATAATTGGACACCATAACTTGGCTTTTAGTTCGTCTCTTATCACCAATTTTGCTTACCAAAAATGGCCTACTTAGAGCTCTCGATTCTATGGCACAGCTAAATGAAGCAACCACACTATCATGAGCCAACGTTGTATAGGGCCATGATCGAGCATAGGATGTCATGAGCCACCCATGTATAAGGCCATGATTGAGTAGAGGTGACAAGTGGAGGGTAAATCTCATAGGCTAGGAAAAAGTGTCCCTATTTCAAACTTTGTAATGGTTCATGGTAGCATAGGTGTAAAATCTCTTAAGCTCTTTAGAGAGGTGAGCAGTCGACATATTGTTAGGCTATATCACTAGCTAAGGTATGTGCTAGACCACCCATTTAGGGCTACCCCTCTAAACTCGACGATGGTAGGAAGACTCAATGCTCTTTTTGTACTTATTATACTATTCTTGATGTTAATAAAACATTTTTTCTTATGAGAACACTAAGGGTTACCTTGGTGTGCTCCCATTATGTGCCGATATATTGTTCTGTATTCTTGAGATTAACTTGTGGCTTGTTGGTTGCCTATGTGCTAGACCACCCATTTAGGGCTACCCCTCTAAACTCGACGATGGTAGGAAGACTCAATGCTCTTTTTGTACTTATTATACTATTCTTGATGTTAATAAAACATTTTTTCTTATGAGAACACTAAGGGTTACCTTGGTGTGCTCCCATTATGTGCCGATATATTGTTCTGTATTCTTGAGATTAACTTGTGGCTTGTTGGTTGCCTATTCATATATCAAACTATCCTTGGCTGTCTTGTGTGGAAATATCCATCCAAGTGCCACACAATCTATTACTTCATTATGTGAGAGCTTAGCCTATGGCATGTGGTATTAGAGCATAATTGAGAAGTGCTAGAAAATTGATAAAATGGCTACAAGTGGTGGATTTAATGATCAACAAAGGATCGAGGAGCTTAAGGCCATGGTGGCTACCTTAAAAGCTCATATGGTAACTCATGATCCACTAAAGGGGATCAAGATATCCCAGTGAGAGTTGTCTGATACTCTACATAGCTTGGGTGAGGAGACCAAAGATGCCTTGAGTGCCCTCTAGAGAGAGTTTGAGGAGTGTAGGGCCCAAGTGAGTATGCTACAAATGGCTATGGCCAGGTCAAGTTTTAGCTCGTGGAGAAAGGGAAAAGGGCCAAAGTGCCAAAGCCTCGATGTAATGAGGGGGCAAAAGATGTCAAAGAGCTTGAAAACTTCCTGTTTGACATAGAACAATTCTTTTAGCTATGCACACATAATCAAAGGAAGATAAAGTTGCAATGGCTTCAATATACCTTGCCATGGATGCCAAGCTATAGTGGTGTTCAAAATTTGTAAGTAATGAATGCCCTATTAAAACTTGGGCAAATCTTAAGCAAGAGTTGAAAAATGACTTCTTCCCTGAGAATGTGGAGAATATGGCCCCAATGATGCTTCCAGAATTAGTGTAAACAAGAATAATGTGAGAGTTTTTAAAGAGCTTTTTTACCTTGAAGCTGGACATTAAAGACAAGTCTAAAAAGTACAAGATGTTCTAATTCCTAGAGGGCCTCAAACCTTGGGCTAGGATGGAATTACAAAGATAAAAGGTGCAAGATGTGGCCACGACCATGGCTGCCACCAAACGTCTTAGTGAATATAACAATGCCCCCTCAAAATGAAAGAACCATCTATCATGTGGCAATAACTCCAACTTTGGGAATGGTAGAAAGATGGTCAAAAGAGATAGGCCCTTCAATGAAGGATTAGATAAGATGCCTTCTACTTGAGACAACACCCAACCCAAGGCAAACAATGTATCAAATTTCAATCTGAAGCAACTACCAGCTTGTTTCTTATGCAAGGGGTCACATTAGGTGGCCAAATGCCCATGTAGAAGTGCCTTTAATGCTTTGAAGGCCTCCTTGCAAGAGTCTTCCAAAGTAGTCAAAAATATTGAAGAAATTAAATAGGAGCCATCATGGATGGGCTCAATATGGTTTCTTAATGCCTTTTGTACCCAACTAAACATGATAAAGAAAGAATCTATGAGAGGTTCGATGTATGTAGACCTAGTACTCAATGGTAAAACCATAAAAGCCATGGTAGATATTGGTGTAATTGATACGTTCATCACACCAGAGAAAGCAAAAAGGTGCGGTCCCTAGGTTAATAAACACTGTGGGCAAATGAAAGCAGTTAACTCGTCAGCCTTTGTGATCAATGGAAGCTCAAAGAGTGTGATGAGCAAGTTAGGGCAATGGGATGGAAACGTAGACTTCATGATTTCCCTCATGGATGACTTTGATGTTATCCTAGGATTGGGCTTCATGATGTTGGCTCAGGCAATCCTAATCCCTACTGCTAGTTGTTTATTGTTCTTGGGGGAAAGATTATGTGTTATGTCAACCACAATCCTCCATAAGAATAGGAAGAAAATGATTTCAACATTACAATTCAAGAAATGAGTAAAGAGAAGGGAGCCTTCTTATATTGCTATGCCAATTTACAAAGATGGGATTAATGAGAGTTTGTGGTTATGTATGGACTATAGGGCATTGAACAAAGTCACTATGAGAAACAAATATCCTATTCCTCTTATTGCAGATTTGTTTGATCAACTAAGCTAGGCCAAATGCTTCTCCAAATTGGACTTGAGATCTGGCTATCACCAAGTTAGAATTGCTAAAAGAGATGAGCCAAAAACCACTTGTGTAACATAGTATGGTGCATTTGAATTTCTTGTTATGCTTTTTGGATTGACTAATGCCCCTGCCATATTTTGTACCTTGATGAATCAAGTGCTCCATGACTATCTTGACAAGTTTTTGGTCATCTATTTAGGTAACATACTGGTCTATAGCTCTACCTTGGAAGAGTACCAAAAGCACCCATATCTTATGTTTCAAATACAACAAGACCATCAATTGTATGTTAAATGATAAAAAAGTGCATTTGCTCAAACATGAATTCACTTCTTAGGCTATAATGTTGAACAAGGCCACATTCGAATGAACATGAAAAAGTTAGGGCTATCAAGGATTGGGCAACACCAAAGAATGTTAGGTGAACTCCACTCATTTTTGGGGTTAGCCAACTATTATAAGAGATTTGTGGAAGGATACTATCTTAGAATCATGGCTCTCATTAAGCTATTGAAAAAGAAGCATAACTGGTGTTGGACAAGTGAATGTCAAGAGGCTTTTGAGGGCTTGAAGAAAGCCATGATAAAGGACCTTGTCTTAACTCTTTCTTACATTAGGAAGCTTTTTGAAGTTTAACCAAATGCATCTAATTTCACTATTGGGGGAGTGTTTTTACAAGAATGGCATCTTATAGCATTTTAAAGTCAAAAGTTAAGCGAAGCTAAAAAGTAATATATGGCTCAAAAGAAAGAACTTCTAATGGTAATCCATTGTTTGAAACCATGTCGACATTATTTGTTAGGTTCACAATTCGTAGTTAAGATAGACAATATTTTGGTTAGTCATTTTCTCACCTAATTGAAGCTCATGGCTAAGCAAGCTAGATGGTAGAGTTTCTAGCTGAATTTGAATTTTGTTTTGAGCACACAACTAGAATAACCAATCAAGTGGTAGATGCATTGAATATATAGGCAAAGCTAGCTACCCTTAGGAGAATTGCCCTGATGGTAGCTAGTAAAGTCACAACAGATATTCAGAAGCTAATTGAAGATAATCTGAAGAAAGATCCACAAGCCAGTGCCATCTTGGAGCTAGTAGGAAAAGGGAAGTCCAAGTACTTTTGGCAAGAAAATAGGGTCTTATTGATAAAAGGTCCTTAGTTGTTTATGCCAAAAGTAGGAGGTCTAAGATAGATGCTAGGGAATGCCATGATACACCATGGGTGGGTCATCTTGGTTGGCAACGTACTTTAGCTTTACTAAAACAAAACTATTATTGGCCTCGTATATGGTAAGATGTGATGGACTATACAAAGACTTACCTCATTTGCCAACAGGACAAAGTTGAAAAAAGAAATCAATAGGCATACTTGAACCATTACTTATGCCCACAAAACTTTAGGTAAGTTTCTCCCTTGACTTCATATTGGGCCTTCCTAAGGTTAGTGATCTTATGTCTATTCTAGTAGAGATTGACCATTTTTTTAAATATGCTAAATTGATTCTCGCCCAAAAGTATTACATCATGGAAGATATGGCTTGAATAATATTTAAACATGTAATCAAGTATTAGGGCCTTTCTTAAAACATTGTTAGTGACAGGGATCCAAGATTCACTAGTCATTCTTGAGAGAATTTTTCAAGATCTTGGTATCTCAGCTCAACATCTTTTCAAGTTATCACTTGCAAGCTAATGGTCAAACTAAATGATTTAATAGGTTATTAGAGGAATACTTAAGACACTTTGTTCAAGCTAATCAAAAAAGTTAGCCTTTATTGTTGGACGTAGCTCGATTTTATTTTAATTCCAACAAATGTTCTTCCATAAAAAGAAGTCCATTTGAAGTGGTCACTAAATAACTACAAAGACCACTACATACATCCCTTGAGCCATATCGAGCGAAAAATCCACGAGCCTTCAACCTTAGCAAAAAATCAATACAAAACACAGAAATTATGCAAGTAGACTTAGAGAAGGCATCGAACCATATGAAGAAATGGGCAATAAGGGTCAAAAGGCACAGCAATTCAAAGTTGGTGATCTTGTTTTTATCAGATTAGTGCCTGAACAAACTAGTTTCCTAAAGAAGCAGGATCATAGGTTGGAGCATAAGTATGAGGGTCTAGTGAAGATCCTTTCCAAAGTTAGGAATGCCTTTTATAAAATTGACCCATCAAAATGGATGAAGGTGCACCCAGTGTTCCATGTGAACAACTTAAAGCCCTATCATGCAAACCCCACAGATACAAGTTGAGGTGAACAACTAGAGTTGCCATTACCATGAAGCCACCATCAGAACATTGAGTTAAAGAGATTTTAGTTGACAAGGTATCTTGAGTATCTCAAAGAATAGTTCACGAATATTTAGTGGAGTGGGAGAGCTTAGGACTAGAAGAAACTAGTTAAGAGAGAGATCATGTCCTCCAAGCATTCAAGCAAAAGATTGAAGAATTCTATGCCAAAAAGTTAATGAGGTCATCGACAAAATAGGTAGGGGAGGATGTCATGAGCCAACCTTGTATTGGGCCACAATTGAGCATAGGATGTAATGAGTCACCCATATATAGGGCCATGACTAAGTAAAGGTGACAAAAATGAGGGTAGATTTCATTGGCTTAGAAAAACTGCCCCCATTTCAAACTTTTTAATGGTTCTTAGTAGCATCAGTATAAAATCTCTTAATCTCTTCCGAGGGGTTAAGCAATCGACATATTATTGGGCTACCTCACTGACTAAGGTACATGTTAGACCACCTATCTAGAGTTGCCTCTCTGGGCCCGACGATGGTGGGAAGACTCGGTGCTCTTTTTATGCTTGTTGTACTTTCTTGATATTAATAAAACAAATTTTCTCTTATGGGAACATCGAAGGTTGCCTTAGTGTGCTCCTAATATGGCCCAATATATCATTATATATTCTTGAGATTAATTTGTGGCTTGTTAGTTGCCTATTTAGATATCAAACTATCATTGGCTACTTGTGGGGAAGCATCCATCCAAATGCCACATGGTTTATTACTTCATTAAGAGAAAGCTTAGCTAGTGACACATGCCATCTTGCCTATTTATAGTTTGAGAATAGATCGAGGGCGTTGTCCATCCAATGTCTCTAATTATTGGCTTTACCCTATAGAACATGCCAAGGGCTCTAACTATCTTAAAGGAAACTTCAGAGGGAACCAGCTATAGATGGTTCGATTAGTCTTTCACCCCTATACCTAAGTCATAAAAATGATTTGCACATCATTATCACTGTAGGCCTCCACCAAAGTTTCATCTGGCTTTGCCTATTTAGGCATAGTTCACAATCTTTTGGGTTCTAACAGGCAGCTCACACTCGAACCCTTGTAACAAAGTTCAAGGTCAGTCAGTGGTGCACCTGTGAGAGATCCCGCCAATCAACTTCCTTGCACCTTATGGGTTTTTTAGCTCATTGACTAGCACACATGTTAGACTCTTTGGTCTGTGTTTGAAAATGGGTCAGATGGTGAAACCACAGGCTAATTCGTAGAGCATGCCAGTGTTAAGGCACACCGAGATGATGTGTGCTACATTCCATGATCATGGTGATAACATCTTTATAGGCATATCAATAGCCTAGGCTTGGGCCACCATCATGACCCATGTCAATCTATGCCTTGAGCTGATCAGTGAATCGGCTCTCACTATTCCACAACTGATCAAGGTGCATTGTCGACCCCCATCTACTTTCTTTTTGACAATTTTAAGCATTTTTTGACTATTTTTTCAAAGTCTTTTTCATCTTTCCCTCATGGTACTTGTTTGCTATTAGTCTCTCACCCATATTTAGCCTTGGATAGAATTTACCCCTTGACTAGGATTGCATTCCCAAATAACCCAACTCACAGACAATGCCTAGTGCTATGAAAGGGTCTAGGAACAATAAGGCTCTCACCCTCTTGGCACCCTTTTTTAGGGTACTTGGGCCTAGTCTACCATTGAGGACACTTTTCCATACTATAATTTAGACACTGAAGGTGTCCAATTCTCAAGCTGGGCTATTCTTAGTTTGCTCGCCACTACTAGAAGAATCTTGGTTACTTTCATTTATTTCACTTATTGATATGCTTAAACTTAATGGTTAATCTTACCTAACCTGAGGTCATGATGCGAGCATCGACCAAGTGATGTAGGGGATCTAATAAGGTCTGGGTGGACAACAAGTACATGTCATCAAAGATGAGGCACATTAAGGGCTTTACCACTAATGGTTACAGCGCTATCATTGCTAGGGATTCACTTTTAGGCCAACCATGATCGACAAGATCACAAGAGGCCATCTTCCACCCCTTTCACCTAGAGCTTAATGGATGGGAGTTTAGAGGGGGTGACAGTGCATGACACCTAAGCAAGCGTGCCCTCAACCTAATGGCTTGGGGCATAACTTGCATTCAAAGACTCGATGGTTCACAAGATTTTGCAATTCACACCAAGTATGGCATTTCACTACATTCTTCTTCAATGTAAGAGTTGAGATATCCATTGTCGAGAGTCATTTTTGGTTTTTCATGACAAAAAGAGTCACAATGCTGACTATGCACACATCACAAACAGGATGATGATGGTACATTCTAGTTCTTTGGCACAATTCACACTATGGCTTTGTTATTCAGTCGTAGGCAGTAATACCAATCATTTCACCCCTCCAAGAGGTAGAATGAAGTGTCACACCCACTTGAGGCTAAAAAAGGCTTAGGGCATGAAGGCACCCTCACCCTTTTGGTGTTTCATTAATGTGTTCATGAGTCATTCATTAAGTGGGTTTCAACAATGATCCTTTGGGCAATGACCCTTTTGTATGTTCACCTACTGAAACCTTGTTACGACTTTTCCTTCCTCTAAATGATAAGGTTCATTGGACTTCCCATGATGTCACAAGTAGCAAATTGTCCATGTCACCATGATTTGAACACTTCATCAAACCATTCAATCGGTATGAGCAATAGGTGGTGTATAAAAGGTAGGGACATGCTCAACATGAGTTGATAACTTACACTTACTAGGAATTCCTTGTTAAAAACCAATAATTACAATGATCTATCCCTATCACAATGAAATTTCAAAGATTACCCAAGCTTGTTAGCCAAGGCTATAGACTCTTTAAATACATCAATGTAGCAAGTGTGTGGTGAAGAATATCTAAGAGCATCATAGACCTATTATTGCCTCAAACTTCCTTAGCCTAAGTGGCCATAGTCCCTCTAAGAAGCTAGCCATGAAGGATCACCTTCGCATACCTAGTTAGCAGGCAAAGGTCTTGTTCTTTAATGAAGTTAACTAGACAAATCACTTCACCAACTAAGAACGGCCATGCACCACCACCCATAGAATAAAAAAGGAGCTCTCAATCTATCAATCCTTACTATGTCTAGACCTAGTAAGTTTCCCTTTCTTAAGTTAAATTAAGCCATACGCTCTACTCTTGGTGATGCCCTTTTATCAATTCCTTTAAGTTTCAACCTTGCGACCATACTCCCCTGGAACCCAAAGAGTTTGATTTCTCATAAGGTGCTGGTGGAGTTCTAAAAGTAATATCCATCGATCCCTGGTTGACATCATTTATGGTTGAGACTAGGATGGTATTTGATCATCTTTGAGCCTTAACTTTCATTATTG